TTATATTAATTATATTTTTCCGAAATTCAAATTTCAAAATTCACGAATATTTTACAAGTAATCTCTTATTTAGAGAATATTTAAAACGAATCGTCTGAATTATTCTTTTTCTTGTAAAAAAAGTAAAGAAAGTTGATGTCGTGTTGAAGTTTGAAAAACATTTCCAGCAGGAAATAGAAAAGGAAGTCGATTACGATTCTTTCTTTATAGTGTATTACTTTGTTTGACGTCACGCTAATGCTTACTTCTCTAAGATATTTTTCAGATTTGTGGAAGGTTAATAACTACATATTCCTGTATATTGCGTACAGTTGTTTATTTCTCAATTTTCTTCTTACTTATGTATATATATTATCATATTTTTATAACAAAAAATAATAAATTTCCGTGATAAATCGTGTCTATTTTTGAAATTGGATCGATGGAATAAGGCGACGCAACATTTGGGCCATCTAATTAGAAACTGGCCCCTAATTAGGTGTTAGATGAAAACCTGGAAAACTCCAGACGGTCAGTCCGTCGGTGAGATATGAACCCGCGACTAACTCTACCAGTGTTTTATCCACTCGGCAATCGGAAGGCTGATTTTTCTTGAAATTATCGAATTACATCGAATTTTTAACAAGATTAAATATGTTTAGAATTGTTAAAATATTCGGTATATTATACAAGATTTCTGAAAATAAACGATGATGTTTCGTAAGGCTTTTGTGAATGATTCATTAAATAATCACTCTAGAAGTTTTTGTGTTATAATCAATAACTCCAACAGATTTTGTACAGCGTTAGTAGGCCTTTTATGTATAGATTTAATCACTACGCTTTATGAATATTGCGCGTAATGTAAATTTTACATTTCCAAGAAGGCGGAAGGCGGAATGAACTCACCTAAAGAGATAAGGTTGACCTTCGAGAAGTCCAACTTTATCTCTTTACACTTTATTTGTAATCTTATAAAAATCTCGTGTAAAACGTCGTATGTAATGAAAGTTCGCATTTAATAAAAATCTATAATGCGAGTGCAAATATTATGCCAAATATTCTGTGATATAAATTCTTTCAATTATATCTATGCTGTATACTTAATGGCAAATACATACAATCCGTAAATAACCAGTTTTAATCACTGATTGTCATACAAAATCTTCCAGAGTAAAATAGTCAATACGTTACTGTTACACAATGATCTTACAGAATCGCATCATTCATTTTCGGAAACCTTGTATTTACATTTGAAAATAGTTTTTAAATTTTATAGTAAAATAATCTGTATAATCTGTCCTGGATATTTCGGGACTCATCCTTTACCGCTTGGCCATCCCCAACCTAGGTTTGGCCGAATACCCGATTGATTAAGAAGCTTTAAATGCCCGCTGGAGTATCGGTAAATAATCACAAATCCGAACAGAATAAGAATTTCTTAGATTAATTATAAAAACTCGAGACTAATCAAATATTTATAAGCGTATTTTTAACGTAGTAGGAAATCATTATAGGTATTTTAAGTGAAATTGGGCAGAGATTTACGCCTGACTGACGAGTTAGCGACGTAATATTTTTGGGTTTTCTTCGCGTGTGGGCCCACCGGCGGCCAAGCGGCTCCGTTCCCCGAACACTGGGAGTTCGATGGTGGATTAGCGCCTGGCCAAAACAGACTGGCCGGGCACCAATCTCCACGTTTGTAACGCCCGAATAGGAGCCAGTTACCCTTAAAAAGACCTCCCGGAAGGCATCTCCTCTAGACAAATCGCCCAAGTATTGCATTGCCATAACTTAACAAACAAACACGTTCATCCGTTTAATTTTCTAAGAACGTTCTAAAGAAATCTGGCCCCTATTTAAGTGCCAAAATTTAAATAGGGGCCAGTTTTTCCTTCCTCCAATACCTCTTTGATAAATCGTCCTCGCGTGCGTTGGTCAGGCCCGAACCACAGACTAGTAGTTTTATCCACTCGACCACTGGTAGCCAATGTCATATTGGATAATTTTATTTTTTATGTCAGATCGAGGTTCTATTTATGCTCGAGTAAAAATGGATTACAACGTGTTTAGACGTTTACGGATTTTGTTTTGAAGGATTTATTCGAAAGTGGATTCCCGTTATCTTTACATTTTATTCAGTAATTACTCATTTCATTTTAATTTTTAAACAGTTGATGGCATTGTTTTAATCAAAAAATAGCGATTTATGAAAATAAATGATTCAAAATTTATAAACTTTATTCGATGTTATTTGAAAAATAATTAAAAAATTTCTTTACAAGACACGTCTTATTACAATGTTATTTTTAATAAATAAATATATGTAAAAACATCTCATTTATTTTATTAAGAGTAATTCTAAAGTTACTAAATTAAAGTAAAAATATATTTTATATAAAATACTTCTTAAATTTTAAGTAAATGCAATTGCATCGATATAAGACATCGAGTTTAGTTAGACACGTAATGCTACATAGTTTCTAGTTTTAAGATATTTGACATTTCGTACAAATCATTAAGTTCGAGAAAATAAATTCATTTATAAATGACTCTAATAATTTCTTTACAAAACATCATTCGAAACATATAATTATGCTTGAATGATTGTCGACGATTTACTTTTTATTGCCACAGTTTGCTAATTTCTCACACACTAATATACCTTTAAGTATAAATGGTACGTGTACGCACGTAGGCGCTCACACCCAAGGATCAAGAACGAGAAGTTAACCGAAGCGCTAATGGTAATTCGTTAGCTTCTAACTCTAAAGCCCGGTTACCACTCGCAAATTACCAGTGGCAGCGTCCAGTCACAATGGCAAACGTTCGGCGTCAAAATATACAAGTTTATTCCATTGACATTGTTTGCGCTTAGGCAAAGACGCGTTAATACATCAGCCAATTTGCTTCGATATCCAATGAGGCGACGGCGTATACCCGACGTCGAAACAATAGAATCTATCCCACGTTCGAACGTGTCACGAAGCAAATTTTCAAACACGGGGTACATTCTATTGTTTTGACGTCGGGTATACGCCGTCACCTTGCTGGCTATGGAAAGCCGCAGTGTTAGCGGCAGCAGAAAATATTCGCTACTTCGAGAATACTCCTTAGTGGCGCGCCGAGACACATGCCTTGTGGAATTGTTTACCAAGAACAGCCTCTACCGTTTGTCGTTGTCGCTGGAAACTTGTAAGTGGAAACAAAGCTTAACTCCCGATCCTTAGTTGCGAATGCGGCCGATCGTGACATAATTTACACATTTTTGCATATTCGTGCCAAAATTATTTCATTATTTAATATTTATTTTTAACCATCTTTCATTTTCCAACCATTCGCTGATATTTTTGGCTATAGCATTCCACTTAGATAGCGATTTAAATCGTTCCTCCATTGCTTTTTCAATATCCGTTCTTGTATCTTCATCGAAATCGCCTTTTCTTTTTTCATAAAATTCTTTCATCTTTCAAGCGAGAAAATAAAGAACTTTTAATAAATAATTAAAATTGATATTTTGTAATTTTTTAAAAATTTCATTTTTAATTACAAGCAATTGTTTAAAGTCCCACATACCGTTTCGAAAGAATCAAAATCCTTTATCTCGGAAATAAGAGATAAAACAATTCTTCCATATCTGTAATTAAAAATTTCATTTAAAATTATTTAAAGGATAACATATACATTAAAATAAACGAATTATGGTAATTTTTATTTTTATAGTTTTTTTAACTCTTTTCGCCCTGTGGGCGCTAAGAGGGCCTCCTTTAGCCAACCCATTATGGGTTCGACCAGATCCTCGATGAAGACTTGGGCCCGCTATATCTAGATGGACCAACTCCGAAATTTTTCTGGGGATTATTCGGTCCGGATTCGAACCCGGGTCCCCAGAGCAGAGATAGACTGCACCTCGATCACTCGTCAGTCAATTATTTTTATGTTAATCTATATATTAAAAAAATCTTAATAAAATGTAATCGATATAAGACAAAAGAAAACGTTGTAGTTCTGAATAATACCGACGAATTTATGGCTATAAAAATAAGCAGCCGGTGCGCCATCCGACACTCGACGCCATTTTGATTTTAGTCATCCAACTTTAACTTCTCGTAGAACATAAATAGGCTTACTTAATATTTTCGAGATTTCGAATTTTCCTTATAACGTATTTGAGTTTCTCTTTCCGTTGGACTGTTTACTTTTTCGTCAGAAATTTGCTTTCTCTCGAACATTTCGTATTGATGGGCGAGTGAGTCAGTGTCAATATAGTTATGTATATAATTTTTATATAATGCATAGTTTTAACTCGAATCGCTTTAATTTTTTAAAATATTAAAAGATGGCACGATTTGCACAAGCTGCATCGTAGGGCCTCTCGTTACGACGGGGCCTCTATAATAGGGTCTTACATTTTTACATTAGTCATTATTAATTTAATAGTAAAGGGGAAGGGCCCGAAATATGTTATAATTTATGGCCGTAACGAGTCTGTGTCCAGCACTGCTTTTAATAATTTTTTAAATACGTATATATTAAAAGAAATTAAAGCAATTCGCGTTAATAATTTTAATTAGTTAACTATTTATTTATTTAAAAAAATCTTACAGAGATTTCGATAACGAAGACCACTTTTCTTGCAAATGTTCAACGAACATGGTCCAAAATTTTGGAGTGAAATAATGGTATTTTTCAGGATTCCACACTTCATCAAAAAATCTTCAAAAAATCCAATTATAATAATTTTTAAATATGTATATATAAATAAATTATTGTTGAAATTTTAAATTTACCTTTTAACTAAGACCTCATCATTTGTGCAAGGCAAAATTGCATAAAATATTTGTTTCTCATCATAACTTTTGGTCTCTTTGTAACGTTTATAAACGTTTTCCCAATCTTTTTTGTTGCCGTACATGATGAAACTACATCCGACAATAAAGCTGTATTCTCTAAAGATATTTTTAGAATAAAAATTTTAGTTTTTTTTCCATAAATTTATTTAAAATTCGAGTAATTTTATCTTACATTTCTTTTGGGTCCTTTCCTTTCATGAGTTCTTTCATCACTTCTCTCGAATTACTTAAACAGTTTTTATAACCGTACTTACACAAAATAGAAATATATGTATTTTTTGATAAGCTAAATTTAAGAGAAAAATTATTCAAAGTTGTAATTATTTTTAAACATTTTATATAATTTATAGAAATTATTATTATTATTAAATATACGATTTGTTTAGCGGGTAATGGTGAGTTTTATTTCTAGATAATAAAAAAAAAATAATTTTTAAAATTATAATAAATAAAAGACATAATTCATTACAATAGTTCTTCTTCAATTTTTTCTTTAGCCCAATTATGCAAATATCTAGCGTAAATCGATCCCAAAGCGTATTGAATAAATTTCTGAAATTAAAATAATAATTAAAAAATTAAATAAAAAAATTAATTTTCACTAATACCTGTAAAACCTGTCTAAAACGGACCCTCTACAAAAGAGCAACCCGTTTAAGAAATCGTTGATAAATTACTTAACGCTGCCGTATTCCTAAAATTACGTATGACATATTTCCGATCATTCCCTTCATTGTACTGAGGAATTGTACACGGTAGCCTACCAGGTACTAAATGCTACAATACTGTGTTAATTACATGTATAACGTACTGTATAAATCAGTTATTTGCTACGCAAAATACTATTTTAAGTCGGAAACCCGTCTAACGCGAAAGCGAAGCACTTTACCAGAATAATTGGGCCCGTGGGCACTAAAAGGGCCTTTTATCCTATAGAATAAATCTTTTGAAAAAAAAAACGATATTCTTAAAGAAATGCTCCGAAACTTCGCTTGGATTTTATGTAGTTTATATATTTTCCGCTTACCATTATCGATCCAGAAATTTCTGAGCACTTGATCATTGTAAGTAGTCTTAGTTACGGCACGAAATACTTTACTAAAGCGATAAATAACTGGAAATTAATGATTTCCATAGATTTTCTAAGTTACTTTCGAAACAATTCCATGTAAAATGCTCTACATCTTCTTGGGGAATGGTCCCGGGAAATTACTGTACTATGGGAGCGGGTTATTTATCGTGTTGCATTTTTGAAAATTGCAATCCCATAAAGAGTAAAGCTTTCAATCTCAAGCTTTCGCGTGATCCTTCAATCTCTTATCTCCTTGACCTTTAACCACCAAAATTTAATAGCATCAATACCCATATTCACACGTAAACTTGCCGAGTTTCAACAGTTTAGGTTCATTTAGTCCCGAGATAAAATGCAAAATAGACGCTTGCACACACGCATACGTACAAAACTTTTACAGTTTTTGGAAATCTGAAATACCAAAATGTCGAGAAAATGCGAAAAAATTGGGGAAGGGAATTAAAATTTTAGCGATTACCATACTTTCCCTGTGTTGTATTCTATAACATCCAGGAAAATAACATAACTTTCTATAAAATAAAAATCTAGAAAAGAAAATTCTTGTCAGCGCAATCGCGTTTCGTTTTAAACAGGTTTTAATGTGTTGTATTGTATTGTAAATTTGTTGTACGAAACAATAAAAATTATTTTAAAATACTGTTGAAAAGATATATTAAATTAGTAAAAAGAATGCAATTTTATTCGATGCTGTAAAAATATACAGTAAAACCTATTTAAACCGGAATCTTAAGATACAAAATGTTTTTTCCGGTTTAACAGGTTTCCGCCTTGAGCAGGTTTTTTAAAACATAGAAAATCGCTCCGTTCTAAAGAATGTTTTCCGTTTATGCGGGTTTCCATTTTGGACAGGCTTTACTGTATTTAATTACCGCAATTTAATTATACGCGTACAATTAAACTAACAGAATCAGCAATAAATTTTAAAAATAGCCAGCAAAAATGATTATAATTTCGTCATAATGCCGGATTACATAATTTAATCGTATTCTTAATTTATCTAATTTAAAATATGTTCTCCATCTCAATTTTAGTAGTGTCTTGCCCCTGTACATCATACTTTTCCCGTTAACCAAAGAGTCGTGCCGGTCATCTATCTAATAACTCCGTTCGGGAGGAAGTTTTTGAATCGAAATAATATGACTTCCGGTCCAAATCGAAAGTTCGTATACATTTAGTCGAGGACTTCCACCCCCTAGGTTTATCTGGTCTCGATTTTCATCTAACACCGTTGTAGAGATTAAGGAAGGACACGCAAGCAGACGGACGATGGTGGAAATTTATAGGTCTACGGTTTTTAAAAATTTAATTATTTGTAATTCTTTATCAAAAAGCAATAAAAATTATCAAAAGTTGTTGAAAAATATATTTTAAACTAGTGAAAAAGTAACGTAATCAATACCTCATTAATGTTTATTGTTTCTTTGGCCGAGTCGAAAGCGTTTTATTTGAATTTTTGATAGAAAAAATAAAATAAAATAATAGAATTATTAAGAAATTAAACTCGAGCTTCTTAAAGGATTTTCGTCTATAAAATAGAAACTTTCTACACTAATTTTCGAGCATTTTAAATAGGAAACAAAACAAACAAATAAATCTATTTGAAAATCCAATTTAAATATCGAATGGAAAAATATAAAAATTCAATAGAAAAAGTAATCAATGGAAAGATTACTCTTTATATTTCTCTCAAAAACTCCGTTTATGTTTCTACAAAAGTCAAATAGTCTCTCATTTGATTTTATAATGATTTTTTTAAGTCAGTGGCTTCCAAATTTCAATAAATGTAATGACAATACCTTCTTCAAATATACAACATTTTCTAGAGTTCAATAAAAAACAATATGCTTATGTATAACTAGAAGAGAGAATTTATTATTTATTAAAAACTTTTGTCAATAACTTTTTGTTGATATTTATTATTTATTAATAGAAATTACTCGAGGCTAAAATTGATGAAAAATAAACTTTACTGAAACAAAATTAATTATATTTTTATAATTACTTACGGTAAAATATTGTTATTATTTTCAAAATATTATCAGTAAAATTCTGTTTTTATCTTTAATGTCAGTGAGCGCTAATATTCGTTTGATATTTGTATTAAGTTCTGCGCGGCACCCGTGTCACACCGGCAATTCGGGGCTCCAGATACGGTGCCAAATTTAAATTTCGGTATTCTTATTACTGAAATGAGTTTATAAAAGATTGGTTTGCCCGGGATCTCCACCAAAGTGGGCCCCAAACCAATATTTTATGGCCTACTGTCGGTGGAGATCCCAGACGATTTTCCTTTTTACTCGTAGGAAAACGCACCATCGCTCTCACTACTATCCATCAATGGTCGAATGGATAAAACCACCGAACACGAGAGTTTTCACCCGACCACCGAGTTGGGCACGTATTGGGCTTTCCTTTCGTTTCTAACACCTAAATAAAGTCCAGTTTCCCATAGAAAGTCCTCTTGGCGGATCGACCGTGCGTTACGTTTTCATAACTCGTGACATCAGTTCATTTCGATTATTTTTTTTATTATTCATCTTTTTATCTTCTTAGTCGAACTTACACCCGTAAGTTAATCTATAAAGTAAATAACTCTATCGAGGAAACTCCTAAATTTATTATAGGGTGTGGTTAGAAGACAGCCTCCCTGTATTTAAACTAGTTAGAATTTTCCCGAAATACTGTACACGGGTTGCGATCATAATTGAAAAAAATGAAGACCACAAAATCAGTTTTCCCTCTTCGACCTTTGTTTTTTATTATTTGTTTAACTGTTTAAATCTCTTAATTGATTGACAGTACACTACAACCTTTCGAATTATGATTACGAAGCCGAGTGAAGAGAATATTCTAGACAGTCGGAATGAGAAGAGTATAAGAAAAATAAAGAATAAAATAGGAAGAATTAAGAAGAGAAGAAATAGTTTGAATATTATTTAAGGTATTCGAGCTTGTGTAAGCCTATCATATTTCTTGGAAAAGATGAATGAAAAGTAGGAAGATTTAAAAGCGGGATGCTTCGAGCAAAAGAGATTTTATTGCACGATTAATCCAGCCGATTTAATAAGATCTCTTTTATTTAAAAAACAGAAAAAAGAATATGTAGGAAGTGTTACCCAACAACCCATAAACCATTGGGCGATAGAAGAGAGAGCGTCAAAGTTTATGGGAGAGATGTAAAAAGATATTAAAAATCTCAGATACATAATTCTAATTAGTCACTACATAAGGTTATTTATAAACTGTTTTATTAAAAATAATAAATTAAATTTATTCAGCCAAAATTTCAGTTCTTTCCTTATACTTCTCAACTGAGTCTAAACAGCATAATTCTATATTCGGAATATTATTCGGCGCTATCTTACTACATTGACTATTAGAAGTTCATTGCCTTTTCCTATTTCCTATCTTTCAATTACCTTTTATACCATTTAAAAAAAAAAATTAAAACTAACCTATAGAGTCTTGCCTTAAATAATGGTTTTTATAGAAACCCGGGTTAAGGAAAATGTGTAATTTATTGGGATTGTAATAGGGACAGCACTACATTTTTCAAATAAAAGTCTCGCCAGACAATACAAACCGGAAGGAAATAAATCTATAAAAATTGAAATAAAAACCTAGAACAGACTTTTCTCATTATGATTGGCGGGTCGATATCCAATTAGGTAAATCGAAATCTTTTTTGCTTTATTGGCTAATGACTCGCAATCGTGTTTCTTACGACGGATTCAGACCAGTGGTTCTTAGACCTTTCCTTTACTCACACCCCTGAATTTTTAAAATACACTCTCCTATATTGGTATATTTTTATTAAGATATTATTTTAAAAATGTCTCTATTGTCAGTGGAAAAGGAGAAAAAAAATGTTTTAATTCAATTATGAACAACATTAAGCTTCATAAAATATGTTTCGCACCCCTAAACGTTTTTTTAAAATTTCTCTCAGAGAGACTAAGAGGGCCTTTTTATACGTATCCATCGTAGGTTTGGACAGATGCACAATAAGAGCAGACGGGGCCCGACGTAACCGGGAAAGATCACCCTCCCGAAGATTCCTGCGACTTTTCGATCGAGCTCAGATCCCAGATCCCCCAGAGGGTAGAGGTGCCAAACATCCAGTGGCGCGTTATCCTACGGGCAAAAGGGACAATTACCTGGGGTTCCCACCGTCAAGGAGACTCAAACCAATCTTTTTATAAGAAATATTTTCCGCCAAGAAGTCAACACTACGCGGGGCCCTATAATTCAAATTAACCCGGGACCCCATGAAGATATAACGCGCCACCGCGTACATCCTCGAAGATGCGTGTATCACTTATTCCGCGTAAATGCAAAATAGAAATTGAATAGTTTTAAATAATAAAATGTCTTACTTTCCATTTTTCTTGTACGTTGGTTTGAAAAACAGCCATTTCATAATTTCTCAGAAAGTATCCGATTTCTGTAAAACCCACTACATTTAATACCAGAACATCCTTTTCGTAAGGAAAATAAGAGAAGATATCGAGCGCCAAGGTATGAGGAATATCTCCTTTGCTAAAACGATGACAAGATAAAACTATTTTAATGAAATATGAGTAATAATAATATTATTAAATTTTAAAAGTTTACTTACTCGGCAAAGAACATGGCATCTTTTAAAATTTGAATTCTATTTAATGACGGTATTTTCTAAAATAAAATAGAAAATAAATCAAATTTAGAGTGCGTTCGGTTCCGAATTTAAAATGTTTTCGTATACCATTTGCAGTGTTATGATATATTTTACAGCGTACCACACGAGGATAAAATTTTAATACTTTATTTTTAAATCCTTGTAATATTCTAAACGCTTTATTTGATGTATGGCTACAATAATATCTGTTGTAAATCTATATACAACTGGCTTAAGTGACTAAGTAATTCACGATTACCGTCTCAATTTTGTATATGGTGCCATTTTTCTCGAATTTGTTTCCTCGTTTTTCTATCGAGTCATTTTGTCGGATCGAGAGATCGATAGGTAAGCTACTGAACGTATCCACGAAAATAGAGATAAGAGAAGTGATGATCGTCATCCTTCATTCTGTGTCTCTTATTCGTCTCTTGAATTGGCTACCGACACGAAATTTGACTTTTAAATCATCAGAAATATATTTAAAACTTCGATTTTGAGTTAATATTGTATTGTATGGATTTTGAGTCGTGTTTTTAAAGAATTTCGTAAAAGACAGAATTCGTTTCTGTCATTTCTATTGTGTAGAAATGAAGTTACGCGAAATTCAGTAGTAATGCAGGGTGTCTCGTAAGTCTGGAATCGTAAGAGTTATAATAATCGCTCTATGTACTTTTACATGGAGTTGCGTAAGAAGAAACAAATTCGAGTTATTCCGATGGTGGGAACCCACAGACAACGTGAACTCCAAAGAGTTTTTAACTGGCTGCATCTAGCACTCTGGATGAAGCCTGTTAAATTCTTTGGCATTAACTCTCTCTGCGGATTCTCGCCATCGGAATAACTTGAATTCGTTCCTTCTTATTCGATATCATACTTTATGTATAAAAGAATAAACAAAAATGAACACTTGCTTCCAGACTTATGGAACACCCTGTATAATAGAAAGCGCACACTTTTGTGAGGGACGAACAGACCCACAATAAAGTGTTATTTTAAATTTTAATTATTGGAAACTTTAATCGGTTAAATTCGAGCGTTTTATCGAGTTAGGCTAAACGCCATAATAATTATTTCCCACGGAGTTTGTTCCTTGATGAGTCGGATCCAGTTAGTCAGGGATGTGTCACCAGGAACTTTCGATGGAGAGCCCATATTGGACGCCAGACCCTTAACAACAACCACCTGACCTAATGGAAAAACCCAAGAGGAATTTTAAAAAAAACCCAAGAAGAGAGTCGTCTTCCAAAGTCCGCCCAACAAAGTCGTCCTCTAGGATTCAAATTGTGACCCAGGATTAAAACCGTGAGAAAAAATCGTGCCTGGTTAAGCCTCTACACTCCTCCGTGCCTCCACACCAGTGAACGGACAAGATTCGGAACTAGTGGAAAGAACAGTCCATCGACAAGGTATTTATCAACCCGCGATTCGTTTATAGGGACAGCACTACATTTTT